CTGCACCAACAAAGTCTGGAAAACAAAGGAGAAATATAGGAAATGTAATCCTACTGCTTGTTAACATGATAGCAATATGGGCCCTAAGCAATGTTATTATTTTAAAGCTTTGGAGTGACCTAGCACATCATACAGGCTGTAAGATTTCTATAGGTCAGTATAAAGATGGACTTTGGCAACACAGCTCTTGGTTCTGCAAACCTCAGAAAAAGTGGGAGGATTCAGAGCTGCCCGGGGAGCCCTTTTGCTAAAGAAAGAGTGAGTAGGCAAAGCAGTTTGTCCACACATCACATGCCGAGGACAGATTAAATAATGCACACCTTGAGCAATGTTTAAACTTTCCTAAATGTTATTGAATCCATCCTCTTCAGAGTACTTCTTTCAGAATATTTTAAGAGCAGTGTGTAAATTAGCTCTTTTGCCTCATGGCAGAAGGCAGTCTAAAAAGGCTTCTCAGAATGTAGCCACAAAAGTATCAGCTCTAAGAAAGACTTAGCTATGCAGTTTCATTTAATACTGTCAAGAAAAGACAGCACGCTTTGAGAAAAATACTACAGAATTTTGGCAATGCAAAATCAAAGGTCTCAGAATCAAATTTGATGCCTGAATTAAGTATATTGCTATGCCCTCATTTCTGTAATCATACCTGTGTGTTGCCTGTGTGGAAGCAGACCACAATATATGCCTTTAATTTGTAAGCAACATGGAAAATGCAAACAGATGGAGAGGGTACAATTTGGTCTAGCACTGAGCGGAGCCCCAGCAAGTTTTGAGAGGTTCCTTGCCTTCCCACAGCAGCTGGGGGAATTTGGCTCAGAATTAGAAGCCCAATTTAGGCTTTTGAATAGAAAGGCAGAATTGAAAATATGAGCTGGGAAGTCAGTGGGAATGCAGGGAAGAGTGAAAGTCCCAAGAAAGCTGCAAGTTAATGAAGTTTAAGAATGCGATATGTAACCACAAATACATATGCTTTAAAAAGCATACCACAAATGCTTTATTTTAGGCCACAGTGAGTGGCCTAAATAAATAACCCTGAACCGTGGAGCTGCAGCCAGCTCCTATATATGCCTGATGCTCTGGGTAGCACTGAGGATGTGGTTCCTGCTATTTTGCTTACATCTCATGCTTGGCATGACTGAAAAACTGCCAAACTGAGCAAAACCAGGAACCTGCATCAGACATGACCTCACTATCATCCACTGCCGTGGTACCCCCATCTCAGGTTAGTTTTAACACTGAGCAATTCAATACCCTGTAGACAAGCTCAAGGAAGCAGGGACATCTAAATAATGCAGAGTAGCAAGCATAGATGGTGACCGTGGAACCAGCTGCACTGAGGTGGTACTGTGGCTGGACTGAGTGCAGAGCTTCTGCTCTGGGATCCGAAACTATTTGAAGGATAATGGTAACTCTGCATCATGCTGGATTGCCACATAAACATAGTCCGAGCAAGCTGCTGTAAACACAGAGGCTTACAGGTCCTGATTCTGATTATAATCTTTTAAATGCTGATTTTCCTTACTTAAAGCAGTATTGTTGAGACAAGGGTTGAACTCTAAAGGTGTTTAAGTACATCTATACAATTTTAAGCAGCCTGAAACAATAGGACACTGCACTTGGCTAGGTCTCCAAGTGCCTTGTGTTTTACAGTTATGCTACTTGTTTTTTTCATCTTATATAGCATATATGCTATATTGTCTGTCAGAAACAGACAATCAGTAACAATATTGCCCAGAATTATTTATTGAAGAATGGCTTGGACCACTCTACAAACTGTAAACAATGTGTACAAGCTCTACACTGAAGCAATCCCAGGATGAAACATTGCTCAACTGTCAAATAATCCACTTCAAGATTTTGTAAAATCAAGAGAGGGGAGGAAAAGACCCACAATCCCAGGTATGGGAAAGAGACAGAGAAATCTAGTGTGGGAGGGCTCTCCATGGAAAGCTGCAAAAGGAAGAGGTAAGAAAAGAAAACAGAACAAGGTGAAGTTTTTGAGAAATTCCAGTTGCTGCTCGTGAGGACTTACGAGCACCTTACCAGTATCCAAAAGCAAAGACAAGGGCTGTCATAGTTAGAAGCAAAACAGAATTGTCTTCAAATCCTTTTTTAGGTAAGTAATTCTTAACACTTGAAAAAGTCTCTGATGGGTTAAGGAGTTTTCTTGGAAAAGGGAGGACTGTGGCAGAGACAAAAATTTCCTCTCAAAGAGCAAATGAAAAGACTCTTTGGGTTGTGCAATTTTTCCTCCTTTATCAAACGTTTACCTCCACAACAACGATTCTTATCCAAATGCACAGAGCACCTTCATTCAGAGCCACAGAGGTACTGATGTCCCCATAAACTCTGCCAGCCCCCTACATCTGTCATTCCTATCAAATCAATCAAGATTTTTAAGAGATTAGGCCCGAATTCCTTTCCCTTAATCCCAAATTCACTCACTTGTAGCCCTTCAACTCCTTTTCTCTTCCATATGTTACATCAAGCAGGGTTTTCTAGACCTCAGAAATAATTCATTTTAGGTGGCAGACATTTTCAGTGATTCAGTCTTCAATGCCTAACAAAACTAACTGGCTCAGGAATTTGGGACTGGCTTCAGTAAGACCTGCATCTCAGTTAAGTCCCCAGAACTGAGGAAAAAAAAGAAAAGCATTCTCTAAGAGCAATTCTGAACTTCTGTACTTCTATGAACAAAAGAGGTAAGAAGAATAAATAAAGAGGTAGGCAGGAGGGCAATTTGTAGAATATGGCAGAGATCAAGAGCCCAATCAGCCATTGCCTTCATTGGTGTGATAAAATGCTTCATTCAAACTATGCTTGATTGCAAGGAACTAAGCAAGATCACATGGAATCAGAGCCTAGAAAATTGGATGAACATTCATTGTGTACAGTCAAAATAATACCCAGGCTGTAATAAAAGCAATAGTAAGCCAAAACTCTAAATAGTGTGGGTGGATCAGGTGGTACTACCACCACAGAAGAAAGCACCTAAAATAGGTTTTCTCGCTTTCCTGTCTAATAGTGACAGAACTCTTAAAGACCAAAGAGAAGTGAAATAAAAAATAATTAACATTTTCTTACAGCAGAAAAAAAAAAAAAAAAAAAAAGTACCAGGAATTAGAATTCCTGGACTCATGCCTTAAACTGTGAGTTTGCAGGTCCATGATAGTGGAAATACGTTCCTTTCTCTGTGCTGCCTGCTAGCAGCCAGGAAGCAATCTCCTGCAATACAACTAGTTTAACTGCTGAACTGAAGAAAGGACTTAGGGACTTACTAACAAGATCTGTAATACCTGGACCTTAAGGCAATTTATTACCACAGTCAGCATGAAAGGGGCAAATTTACCTGCTGGCAATGGCAAACACCCAGCACTACAGTCCAGAGCCCACGTAACTGATCCAAGCTAATCCTCACCACCCATTTCAAGTGCCCAGGACACTCTTTGCCAGGAGAAGCCCATGTCTCTTCTTTAACATAAGACAGATGAAGGAGGGAATGGTGGCTGTCACAGTGGGACAAGGCACTTTTCCACGGCTGAGTGGGTATAGCACGTGAAATTTGGTTTAAACCTTCTGATAGGTTTAAACAGCCTAGTAGCTCTCCAAGCTTGCCCTAACCTTAGTGTCATAGGGATGGAACCGTCTTTGCTCCTCTTTGACGCTGGGCTCTGTGCTGGGATGTCTGCAGGATCTCTCCAGTTCACCCCAGAGGTAGGGCTGGGAAGAAGGAAGCTATTTTTTCTAGCACTGCTCAGAAAAAGTGGTTTTGACACCTCTGTTGCTTGCCAATGACAGGAAGAAGCTCTAAGGCACACAAAGAGATATGGCTGATGCTAGTCTGAGCAAGAGGTAGTATCGCCAACTGGAAGAGCCTGGGACAGTGACAACAGCCAGGATTACACTTCTTAGCAAAGAAGCAGTAGCAGCCTGTCCAGGACTGAATTCACACCCTGAGCTGGGCTGGCTCCCAGCATCTAATTTTGTCTAATCCCTAAATGCTACCAAAACATTATATTTTCTTCTCATGATGTGACTGTAAAGCATTTGAAATACATGTATTTTCAGCTTTTTTTCTTGATACTGCAAAAATAATGCCAACAAAGCAAGAGCATTCTGAGATCTTGGGGAACAATTTCCTTGATGTCTGGGGGTTTTACAGCCCCGGCTCCCCCGAGAGACCGAAAGGCCCGGGGAGGGGTTGGAGCGCCTCACCCGCTCGCCTCTCGCCAGCCCTCCCGGTTCGGGCGGAGGCGCCAGATTTAAGAATGAAAAAGCGCCGTAAGCGGGAGAAAAGAGAGCGCAGGGCGGGGGCGAGGCCGGAGGGTAGCGGGGCCGGCCGGGGGGTGAGTTGCCCGGCGCTTCCCAGCCTCATTCCCCTCGAGCCGGTGTCAGGTATTGCGAGGAGGGGTAGGGGCCCGCGGAGGAGATGGCTGGAGGCTTTCCAGCCCCAGCTCACGCAATGCTAACTCCGCACGCAACGGGGAGGCGACAGGCGGAGGAGGGGAAGCTCTCCGGCTTCCTCAGCCCCTAAGATGCAGAGGAGACTTCGCCTCCCGACAGCGAGGGCTGCGAGCCCGCCCGCCACCCCGCTCCCCTCACGGCACCTCCTCCGCTAAAACTTTTGGCCCCGGCCATAAAAGCATCCGCGACTCAGCCGCTCCACTTGGCGAAGGCCCAAGGGCAGCTGGCAAATAGCTGCGACCCCTCAAGCCAGGGGACGGGCCAGGCAGCGGCGATTTGCCAGCGGGGCCGCCCGCGTCCCGCCCGCACCGCACCGCACCGCGGATGCCGGCGGGTTTAAAACCCGGAGTGCCAATGCCAGGCGCCCAGAGGCGGCGGCTTCGGCTCAGTCTGGAAGCAGCGGGCCGTCCCCCCCGCGCCCTCTGAGCCGCTCGCCTTTGCTCCGGGCAGCGGGTTGGGCTGGCCCCGTCCCGTTCCCCGCAGCCCAGCAGGCGGGTGGGAGGGAGAGGGAGAAGGGGCTGCACCAGGCAGGTGGCTGCCGGTGGGACGAGCTCCGGAGGGTTAAAGCGCTCGGAAGGTGATAATAACTCTGCGCTGGGATCGGGTGCAATTGGCATTGGCCTGCACGTGACCTGCCAAGCTCCGGGTGACAGGTACCGGGGCTCCTAATGAATTTCCCAAAGGCTTGGATCTGAACGCCGCCGCCGCCGCTGTCGTCCCGGGGCTGCCCGCTAAAGCTGCCGCCGGCTGCCTAGCTCCTCTCCATCCTCCCCAAGGTCTCCCATGGAAGCAGCGTGCAACAGGTCAGTTCTGCTACAGGAGCCCGAGGTGGCCTTTTATTTCATTCCTCCTTCCCCGCGCTGCTTCTGAAAGGCTGGAGAAAACGGTAAGAGCGGGCGGCCCCCGGGCACGGGAATGGGAAGCGGGACCAGTCAGCGTTGCCAACGCCGAGTCTCAGGCATCCTCCGCAGCCCATCCCCGGGGCGGCCGACCGCCAGCCTGCGCTGCCGCGACGGGCACGAAGGTCCGGGAGGAGGTAAGGGCTCGGGACGGAGTGGGCTCCGTGACTGCTGCGGAGGTCTCCTCTCCGGAGCACTGGGAAGCTCCGACGTCAGGGAGGGTAACCCGTTTCTCACAGGGGTTATTTCGCCATGGGGAGCCCTGCGCAGCGCCTGCATGCTTCTGCGGAGGTTCGGCAGGCGAGAGCATCCTCTCTGCCTTTTTCAGCATTGACCTGTTGGATCTCCCGCTGCGAACTTTCCCTGGCGGGGGGTGGTGAGGGGGAGAGACTAGCGGCCCCGGCACCAAATACGACTTCGATCCCTTATTGAGTGCTTGCCACTTGATTATCGATTATCCCCCCCCCCTTTTTTTTTTTTTCCACACAAGATCCAGGTGGGCTTTAGGCACACGAAGAGCTCACAGCGAGGACGCAGCCCGACTCCGAGCACCTGGACGGCTGCCGGTGCTGCTCTCCGCCACGCCAGCGCGCCCCGTCAGGGCTTCCCCTTGCCCGCGGGCGACGGGGAGCCTCCCAGCCCTCCCGGGGGGACGCTGGCCTCTGACCTTTCCCTTTCCCTTGCAGCATGGCCCTCGAGAGGCTCGGGAAAGCCCTGGGCGGCATCCCCCCCTTGCAAATCTCCCTCCTGCTTCTCCTGTGCCTGCTCGCCGCCATCCAACTGGGCAAGCTTCTCCTGCAGCAGCAGCAGCGCCGGCGGCAGGGCCAGCGCCGGTCGCCGCCGGGCCCTTTCCCCTGGCCCCTGATCGGCAACGCGGCGCAGCTGGGCAGCGCCCCGCACCTCTCCTTCGCCCGCCTGGCCAGCACCTACGGCGCCGTGTTCCAGCTGCGCCTGGGGCGCTGGCCCGTGGTGGTGCTGAACGGGGAGCGCGCCATCCGCCAGGCCCTCGTCCGCCAGGGGGCCGCCTTCGCCGGCCGCCCGCCCTTCCCATCCTTCCAGCTGGTGTCGGGCGGGCTCAGCCTGGCCTTCGGCGGCTACTCGGAGCTGTGGAAGCTGCACCGGCGGGCGGCGCACGCCACGGTGCGCGCCTTCTCCACGGGCAGCCCCGCCACCCGCCGCCTGCTGGAGCGGCACCTGGTGGGCGAGGCGCGGGCTCTGGTGGCGCTGCTGGTGCGGGGCAGCGCCGGCGGCGCCTTCCTCGACCCCTCTCGCGTCCTGGTGGTGGCCGTGGCCAACGTGATGAGCGCCCTGTGCTTCGGCCGCCGCTACAGCCACGGCGACGGAGAGTTCCTGCGCATCGTGGGGCGCAACGAGCAGTTCGGGCGGGCGGTGGGCGCCGGCAGCCTGGTGGACGCGCTGCCCTGGCTCCAGCGCTTCCCCAGCCCCATCCGCGCTGCCTACCGCGCCTTCCGCGACCTCAACCGCGACTTCTACGGCTTCGTTCGCGGCAAGTTCCTGCAGCACCAGCGCAGCCTGCGACCGGGGGCCGCCCCCCGCGACATGATGGACGCCTTCATCCGCCTGCAGCGGGAGCAGCCGCGCCTGCAGCTCGAACACGTGCCCGCCACTGTCACCGACATCTTCGGCGCCAGCCAGGATACCCTCTCCACGGCCCTGCAGTGGCTCCTCATCTTTCTCATCAGGTAGGTGCCGGCAGAGGCGGCAGCGCACCGGGGCGCCCCACCTACCCTTGGGAGGGACGCGGGAGCCCGCCTGGGGCGTCGCGGTGCGAGTGCCCGGCACTCCCGGGGGAGCCACGCTTAAACAGCGCCCCTGGGAAGGCTCCTGCGGCGGGAGCCAGCGGCCGGCCCGAGCCAGCGCCTGGACCGCCGGATCGAGGTAGCACCGGGATCGCGACGCCGCTGGGGACACGCCGGCGGGTCGCGGGTCCCGGCAGCGCCAGCCCGGGCAGTGCCGGTGCCTCAGCGGCTCCCGATTAACTAACACGGAAGCTCTGGGAAACCTGCCAGAAAGAGATAAGAAAATAGGGGGAAAAAAAAAATAAATCCGACACAAACCCACCCTATTCAGGCCGTCGGGCATAAAGAGAGGCTGGCAGAAAGGCAGCCGAATAAAACCTGAAAGTAACAGATTTTACCAGGTCAAGATCAAGGAGATCATAGGAACAGGATAACAACTGCTTAAGCACGATAAAGAGTTCGTGTACCGGTTTACAAAACCCGCTATTATGTTGATCTGCCTTTGCGTGTGCCTTCCTTGCCATTGCGTGACTGGGGAAGGCAAGACCCCTTGGGCAGCCGGTGGGTGCCACTGCCCTGGCACCAACACTTCCTGGGAGGTGGTTTAATAGAAGGTGCCAAAAGACTGACTTTCTTGCCTATCCTGACTTTTTTTCCCCATCATCTGCATAATTTGTGGGCTTGTGCGAACATTATCTACTCAGTTCCTTCTTAAAAAACAGGCAAATATTAAACTTCGAGCTAAGGGTGTGATGCCCAGTGTTCACATAACTTTTGGGTTTCTCCCCATTTCTTATGTTTGCCCAGCATCTAACATGCAGATCTGCTGCAGGAGGAAAAGGCAAGGATGCAGAAGCCAAACTTGTGTACTTAAAGCAAATAAAGCCTCCTGGGAGGAGTGCATGCTTTTAAACAAGCAAAAGACGTATTAATGTTTCGATCTTGTTTGGTTACTATGTAGTCTTCCAAACTGTCCAGATTTCAGGACAATCTTCTTAGAATACATTATTTTAAGAAATAATAACAAAATATATTTTGATATTAATTAGAAAAAAGTCTACTCAAATTTAAAGTGGGATGTTCATAAAGCCATTCTGACAGTCTAATAATTGGAAATATTTTTTTTCAGTTTAAAAACCTGCAGGCTTTCATATGTGTGCAATATGTCTAGTGATATGAAACTCCATGCTAACTTTTAAAAGTCACATAGGGAGCTGTAAAACAAAACTCTCATTCCCAAGGAAAACACAATACTTAGAAGACACAAGTAATTTCAGTTTTAGAATGCATTTTCCAAATTGGATCAGAACATTCAGTTTAAGCACACTTTAAGTTAGGTTGACTTCTTATGTTGAGAATAAGTTACGTGTGATATTAAAGTGAAAACTGAGCAAATCTGAAATTACACCATTGGATGGGAAGTTTGGATTTTTCTCTCAAAGTTCTCCATTGAGGTCTGCATGTTCCTGCAATATATTTAAACTTTGTCCAAACGGCGTTATTTAGGGGAGGGGTTAAGTTCTGTGAAAAATGTTTACAGCGAGGATTATTTGTAAGAAAATCCTTTGAACGTGTTATCTACGTGCACACATCTTGCTTTAAATGACAGGTATCCAAAAGTGCAGGCTAAAATGCAAGAAGAAGTGGATAGGATTGTTGGAAGAGACCGTCTGCCATGCGTGGAAGATCAGCCTCACCTGCCCTACATCATGGCCTTCTTGTATGAATCCATGCGTTTCAGCAGCTTTGTGCCTGTTACTATCCCACACGCCACCACAACCAACACCTTCATAATGGGCTACCTCATTCCCAAGGACACCGTGATTTTTGTAAATCAGTGGTCAGTGAATCATGATCCAGCAAAATGGTCCAACCCTGAGGATTTTGATCCAACAAGATTCCTGGATGAGAACGGATTCATCAATAAAGATCTTACTAGCAGTGTGATGATTTTCTCATTGGGAAAACGTCGGTGTATTGGAGAGGAGTTATCCAAGGTGCAGCTCTTTCTCTTTACCTCTATACTGGTGCATCAGTGCAATTTTACTGCTAACCCAAATGAAGACCCGAAAATGGACTTTACCTATGGGCTGACCATTAAACCTAAGCCATTTACCTTGAATGTTACACTAAGAGATACTATGGATTTGCTTGATCAGGCTGTCCAAAGACTGCAAGCAGAGAAAGTAGCCAATGAAAATCAGCTGTCAGCAAATGCCTAAGCAATAAACCTTGCATCTAAAGATAATCCCTCTCTCTCTTTTTAGATTTATATGACTTAGAGTTTGTTCTGGTGATCTTTTTGGAACTTAGCCAATATTACAAGTCATAAGAGCAGGAAGAAAAGCTGCACAAAGTATAATTCAGTCCTCTTTTTAGTTCTAGAAGGAGAGCCAGGGGAACAATTTAATATATTAAATAATAAAACATATGCAATTTGAAAGTAAACTTTTTCTTTTCTAGCTTGTACACAGAAGTTGCCATTGTAAAGCGCTTTTTATCTATTGACTGGTTGGAGCATCTCCAGGAACTGTCTCTACAATCCTTGCCATGTCTCCATGTGCTATGCCTTAACTCTAGGTTTGCCTTCAGTGACTCCGCATCCCAAAGTGAAATTTCTTATTAAAAAGAAAAAAAAAAAAAGATTAAAAAAAAGGGTTGTTTAGAACACTGCAGCCTGCCTCTGAATTCCCTCTACTGGAAACTGCCATGCTCCTGTGTTGTGACTGCTGGGATGTACATTAATGCCTCAATAGTAAGTGTTCAAGTGATTTTTGGTAAAATAACAATGTAAAGTCTAGCCTTAAGCATTCCAAAGTGTTTACATAAATGATTAAAAAAATAAAAGCCTTCCTTATAAGCACAGTTGAAAATAAAGTTCATGTTTTATATGAGCATGAACAGAATGTCTTACTACAGTAACTTTTCACTAAGTTTTGAAAGATCAGAATTTCTCTGACACTAAATGGCAAGGGAGATACAAATCATATGCTAATCTGTCCATTAGCATGTTCATGAACAAAATAGATATTTGCTTTAGATTGATAAAGGCGTAGCTGACCTTTTTATTTATCTAGGAAAGAGTTAGTATCACATAATAAGCACATAAGCAAGTCCAGTAAAATCCACGTTGGCTATTTAGGTATTTAGAGGTGAGAATATGGGGGGGAGGGGTTGTATTCAAACATTCATACTGCAAGCCTCAAGTAAAGCATACAGCAAATAAAACCCATTTTCACTAGTCATTCTGGTAGTTTTAGTACACTTTGCTTGGAACAAAGTCTCAGAAGGAAACGTGGCATTACATGTCCTAATTAATGTACCCATTAACTGAAGCAAAAGTGCTTTTAAAATATTAGTGAGGCAAAGTTCATAAAATGTAAAAAAACCCAACTAACCTATTGTTTTAAAATAAAAACCATGAAACTTTATAGCCTTTAATCTCTGGCTAATGTTTGTACACACAAAGCTGCACTAAATATTTCTCTAAAAAGCAAGCAATCCAACATAGATGCCCAATTTGAAAAGTGTTGGGCAGGAGTTGCAGATCACCTTCAATTACGTATGAAACCAATCAGAAATGAGAGCACCTCACATGACTTGCTATGTTCAGCTGAGTAATAAATGAGGTATTAGTAGACCTAGAAAAATAAGGGTACGATGCTACACGGTGAAGTAGCTCTGCTGAGACCCAAGCAAGTAAGGATTTGCACTGTGTCTTCTAATAGATGGTCAGTCTTAAGTCACGTTTGCAGCAGTGACTGAACTCATACTAACATCGGAAAGAGCTAAGTTAATGATACAATCCAGATCTTAAGCTTCACTACTGATTTTAAAAACATGAATCAAGCCTAAAAGTACTGCTCTGTAACCCCACACAGTAGTAATGTACCTGCTTAAAGTCTCTGACTTCATATGGCATCTATCATCTTTTTTTTTTTTTTTTTTATAGCTAAAAAAAGCTTTCTGCTATATACACAAGGAGTAACCTCAGGTGTTTTTCTGAATTATGTACAAGTTTGTGATATCCCAGAACTTAGCCTATATCTGTGAAAAGCTTTTTAAGATACTTAGGATTTTCCTATGGAGATCTACATTAGATCAAATGCTAGCAGAACAATTTCTCTTGTACCTTTGTAAGTACTGATAATAAAAAAAAAAATTAAGGATGTAACCTACAACTGAATAGTTATTCTAATGCAAGGATCACAAATTCATATTTTAGTAAAAACAGCTTTTACAATTTGGTACTCTTTCAAAAGCTTTAACTTTGCATTGGCTACTAATGCAACATCCATACACACTGCTCATGTCAGTCAGGGGGTTACACACTATATAGCTTTTGGTCAAAAAAATGCCTTTTATAATCTGTGAAGATACTCAGATTTAGTAGCACCTATTTAGAATGTATGCAGTTGTTTAGTGAGCTAATTTCTGTGGTCATTTTGAGATGTATGATTGTGTTACCAAAATACTGAATAAAATTATTCTTACACTACTATTGCTTAGTTTATGTATGGCTTTCTAACATCAAAATAAACAAAATTTTTATTTCTTATTTAGAAAGTATTATTATTTTAGTTATCCGTTGATATACTTAGCACCCTCTTCCCATTTCTGGATTTTAAGGTCTTTCTCCATGCTGCCCTTACAGCTTCTCAGGTCTGCCTGCTTATTCATACCTTGCCCTCTGTGCTCAACTTCCTCATGCTCCTTGCTAAGAACATTCCTTGCTGCTCGCCTCAGCATTGATCTGAATTCTCCCATGTCTTTTGCTTTGTTCTAATACCTGTTAATCTCTCCTCAGCCTGCACAATCTCCTGTGCTATGTTCTTCCCTCTGGCATTTCATTTGACTTCCACCTCCTCTATTTTCGAGCCCACAGATTGGTTTTCCTTTCCCTTTTCCCATCCTATACCTAGTGCTGGCATCTATATATACTCCTGCCACTCAATCCCCACCTTGGTCTTTGGCCCCAGTTTGTGCTCTTTTGGCCTTGGTGTATAGTCAGAAGTGCCAGGAATGGAAATCTCAGGCCAAACAGGCCTTAACGTGCCCTTGCAGAGCAGCCTCTCACAAAACGAAAGCAATGCTGTGGTGAAGAGTGGCTGTTATTGCATATATAAAACATTTCTTCAGGATGCAGCATCTCTCCCAACCTCCCACCCTTTTGTCTTCTTCTCTCAGTCTGCTTGCTACACAAGCCTGCTTACTTCAGAGGCATCTTAGAAAGGACCTTCACATTTTCCCAAGCCCAAAGGAAGGGGAAAAGAGCTGGGTGGGACAGAAGACTGGGCAGACTGATGACCAGTAGTTCCCTCCTGATTTGGGATATTTTCAGCTGTAGTTTCTCCCTAAGTGGGCAAGATTCCAAGTTCAGGCTGAGCTGGTGGAATTAGAAGGAGTACAAGTGGAAGATGACTTATAAAGACCCCCTAGAAATAGCTAAGGGCCTGTGGAGCAGGTGTAGTGCCCGAGATATCCCATGCAGTGCATACCTGGGTGGGGCTGACCAGTGGGACAGTGCTGATTCAGAGCAGGTGTCCTCCCTGGGTAAAAACCAGGAGCAACTACCTCCCTCACTAGCCTGTGACTGTGTGTCATCACAGCAATACTGGACAAATACATGCTGTTCTTTCTTCATGAAAAAGCACAGAATATCGAAGCAGCTGTATTCAAGTCAAGATTTTTCCTGTTAAAGTCTTTATGTTCAGGTTGTAGTGATTTCAGTGGGTCAGGAAAGCCAAATGTCATCTCACACTTGCTTCCTCTGTGTATGTGTGCACACATGCTTGGTCCATCCCACTGAAGTTTAGCAACATCCTTCATTCAGGTTGAGATAAGGGATTAAAAAAACCAAAACAACCACCAAAACAACCGAAAAAGCCCACAAAACCCCAAAACAGGAAACCCAGGGAGAACCTAAGACAAGCATATTTCTTGGCAAATCAGTAGCACACCACCCCACTAACTAACAAGGAGAGGAAGCAAATAGGCTGAGCTAGTAGAGTTGATACTGAATATGTTTATACTAGTCAAGTGTACCACTACATTCCTTGTAATCCCAATAGAAACATGAGGGTTTCAGCAGGAGTCAGTCCAGAGCTGCTGAATGCATAGCAATAATGTAACAATAAAGGACAAGACTCATCAAAACTTGAGAAACAAGCGCTGCTGTAAAGGTGTGTGTGTGTCTGGGTTTGTCTGTCAAGGATCTGTGTGTACCAGCATAGTCACAGCACAGTGCAACTGAACACAAATTCACGACAAATTCCTCTTAGTTTTGCATCAGACCCAGCGTGTTTTTGTGAGTGGCAGGGAATTATGCGTAGGTCTGTCTGTAGGAAGTGTTTCAGATTATCCAGACAGAGCAATCAGAGATTAGGTCAACTTTTCACACAGCTCCACAAAGCAGAAAAGTCTTTGTTTTGGTTAGTGTTGCCCTGTCCTTGAACAGAGCAGATCTTGCTCCAGCCTGAAAGCACAGACCTAAAGCTAACCAAATCAAAAAAGAGTCTCTCAGCTCCCTACACTCTTGATCTGTGCTGCATGTCTGGGGACACTGATCCATCAGTACAGTTAATTTAGAAACTACAGGGTGCTGAGGCATTTCAACTGCACATGGGCAGAGGCAGAGAAGGGAGCAGATGCATGGGGGGGGCTCACTGACAGTGCATGAAATCAACCTCAGAGCTACATGGGAGTCCTTTGTTGGAGTGGCTGAGAGTTGGCAGAGGAAAATAATGTGTCTGGAGTGTAGGAAGATTCCAGCTAGGAAGAAATTGTGCAGAGGGTCTTGGATTTCCAGGAAAAAAGAGGTGGTGATTTTACATTGCAAAGATGGAAACGAGAGCTGAGGAACTAAACATGAGGGATTGGGCTGTTCCATACAGGTTGCAGGATTTGGAAACAAAACCAGTCTACAAGAGAAAGTCATAGATAGTCTGTCATTCTCCTCATCTCAGCATCCCCAGTATCTGTGAACAACAGGGAGGGGCAGCCCAGCTTTAACAGTCTGAACATCTTTTGGAGGAATTTTCCTCTTGACATTCAGAGAGAGTGGTAGAAGAAGCAGGCACTACACCAGACAGAAACACCTGATCTAGAGGGTCCAAACTGAGCAGGAAGAGGTTTGTATCAGTCAGCTATTCCCATGCTACCCAGTTATATCTTCAGCTGTATCTAGGCTTGCTCAATATCCTATAAGGAAGGAACAGCACATATTTTGCAGGATGCTCCAGAACTGGGTTCCATCTCTGCTATTATTGATACGTTTTCAGTGATGGCTCCTTATCTTGGCAGGGACAGCTCTATAAAACTAGATTTCCACAATCTCCCTTCTCCCAGCCTGAGCTCTGGTAAGAGCATAACTGTTATCATGCAGAAACAGGCTTCTAATCCTCTCATGATAACAAATGGGACTTCACATAATCACAATTTCTGTGCTAAAAATAACAGTACACCCTCCACTTATTTGGACTCTTCTACTCATCATAACAGAAGCGGAGACGTGGAGTGAGACACCTTGTTCCCAGTACAAAAGCAAGGTTTAAGACAAAGCTTGACTTCACTAAGCAAGTATGCTTTGCAATCATCTGCAGAATAACATGAAACAATACCCTGAACTTCTTTTGTGCTTTGTATTTTGTGAAAATTTTCCAAGTTGCAGTTCAAAAATTTAATCCAACTGTATATCTTCTTTTTAATTACACTTTTTCACTCTGCAGAGAAAAATCATAAATTGTGAGGCTATTAATCTTTTGTGGTTCAGGAAATTTAAATAAGTTTAAAAAAAAAAAAAAGGAAGAAGGTGCCACCAGCAATTAAACTCATCTTCACAATAATTACCCTAATGAAAAATGA